TTACATCTCTAGCAGAGTTTTTTCCACTGAACGTTCAGAGCGACATTTGAGATTCCGTGGGTCATGAAACGGCCCAAAATGAAAAGGGAAAACATCCGCGCAGAAGTTTTTGTCACATTTACACAGTTCTAATCTACAGATAAATACAAATCAATATGTGTGCAAAAATTATTTTGGGTAAGAGGCCCTGACCATACCTTTTTGTCTTCTTGCAATACCAAGTGGAACTTGGATACCCACCAATAAACCCACACTGCGTTATTTGATCACAAAGTTCCTGATGGTACTTATAACAGTATAATCAGCGTCTTGTCAATATTCCAAACAGTGGCTAAAGAATGACACAGCTTTTACACAAATAAGATTTATCATTATCAATGAATTGCATCACCAAGCATTTTTTAAATGGAAAAAGAGATGATTTTGTGAAAAAGTTATACTAATGAAGCTTCCAATAATCAAAACAGATATGAGGTTCTCAGCCAATAACATGTACTGGTTTAGCGGACATTGCTTTTGTTTACCATAAAGCATGAGGTGTTTGGCTGCACTGTATCCCTTCACGTTATTTCTGATGATTCACGAGGCCAAAGATCATGTGCTTTCAGACAAGGCTAGAATTGCTGCGGTCTTTGGCTCTGATCCAACTCTCATTGGAAAAATTCCATTTGACATAAATGGGAGTTGGATGAAACTCTGTTTAATTGGCACTTCCTGAAATGTATCATTAATGGGGATGGGCAAACTCGTTTGGCCAAATTTAAAATTCCCTTGGTCATGGTAGGTTGGAAAGTTCAACTAGATCTCAGGGGTTCATGTTTTGCTATGAACAAAGGAGCAGAAGGGACAAGAAGAAAAACATCCGCTGGAAAAACGTGATGAAAAAAACAGAACTGAGAATTGGGCAGCGTGAAAATCAAATACAGAGAGAACCAGATCCTGAGCGGGGATACATTAGAGGAGCTCCACTGAAGCCAACCAAGTTATATCAATTGACACCCATGCAGGATCTGGCCTAGATAGCACAAAGGCAAAGGAGCAGACACACATAATTCCACCCCTTTGGAAGCCAGAAGCAAAACTCCCATTGTCTTAAGTGGAAGCAGGATTGGGCCCCAAAATGAAAAACAAAGCAGGCAGACTACGGAGACCCCAGATTCTCTGTCAGCCATTTGGACTGTTCTCTTGTGCTACCTGGTCTACCATATTTATGGTTTATGGCACATTATAATTTATTTGTGTTCATAGGTGAAATCCTAACTCCAATGAAGCCAATGGCAGTTTGACATTGACTTTTATGGGGCCAAGATTTTGCTCATTGAAATATTTTATAAGTATTTACATGCATTGTAATGTGCTTGTCATAGACTTCATCTACACATTCAAGTGCAGTCTACAATAAATTGTGTTGAGGGTTATTTTATTACTGTTTCCCTGCTACCTTCGCCCACTTAGCAAAGTGTGTTAGTTCCTCAATATAAAGGAAGTTGATTGTAAACTGTATGGGGGCAGGGACTGTCTTTTTTTTTTTATTTACCCTTATTTGTATTGCTTGTTTATACAGCCCCTGCCACCATAGGACCCTGGGCCATGATTGGGACTACAATAACAGTACAGAGTGTGTTTCCTGGCTTTCTGCCTAAAACTGTTGTCTTGTTCTTCCCTTTAAAAAAATTCTTTTGCATTTTGTTTTTTCAAAAATACAAACACATACGCAATTACAAAACACTACATAATGCAAAAGTACTGCAACAACAACTGCAGAACACTCTCTCTAAATGTTGACACCCCTAAGATGTGAATCTTCTTCCTCCTTAATGAAGTGAAGAAACTGTTACCCCAGGGAATTCAATTTAGTCTAATAATTAATTCTATGAGGTCATCTCTGGCACCCAGTCTCTCTGATATCCAGGATATCTAGAGATATAAACAATGGAGGGGGAGGAAGGGACGGAAGGGGACATGTTTTCCCCAGCCCCTTATTATTTCAGCTAATAATACCAAAAATACCAAATTCTAGGACATGAGCATATAATGGCTGTCTGGCTATATCTCCTCCTTGTTGCCAAACACATCCTGATGGCACTATGTTAATATAGCCTATGCGGACCGAGCTGTATCTTTCTCTTACAAGTCTCATGCTCCCTGGATAACATAGAGAAAGGAAGATTTTTTTACATGGGTGTGTGAAAATATGACCAAAAGTATAGAAACCTGAGAAGGACTAAAATGGCTGCCATGAGGTGCGGAATGTGGTCAATAGAGAAGTAAATAACTGAGAGAGATGGATAAAACAATTGTATCTGGCTGTCATATCAGAGCCTCACAGTCTTTAATGTGTTTATCCTCACAACACCGCTCTGAGATAGGGCATTTTACAATGGGGAACTGAGGCCCAGAGAGGTTAAAGGGACTTGCCCAAGGTCACACAGAAAGTCTGTTGCATCTTCTCTTTCTTATTTATATGATACCCCTCACCACGGATGTGAGTCTATGTGGGGAACGTTACCTGAGCAGCATGGGTGTGCAGAGCATGACTGGTAGTATGGGTTAGGAGCAGGGTGAGGGGAAGCATTATCACCAGGATTGATATGGGAAGCTAGTCAGTAGTGCGGATGAAGAGTGTGAAAAGATGTTCATTGCAAGACACATCTGTTTTCACAGCTAGTTAGCAATGGCTTCCAGCACAAAGGCTGGTCTCTTCTCTCTGCAGTTTTATAGCACTGTTACTGTTACACTTTGAAATGGGGATCTAAATATTTATAGGTCTATTTTTAACATTCAGTTATTCACTTCTGCTCTCTCTAGAGCTGTTTGCTCTTTTATCCTCCTTGCCAGGGTTGCTAAGAAATTAACCAATTTTAAACAGTCCCATTTATCCTGAGACATGAACTCATGAAATAAACTGCAGCGATTGAAGTGTTGATAAGGAGACTCTTCCATTAGTCTGAACACGTACCTGTCTCTGTTTAATACTGGGAGATTCCATAATTACACAGAGAAAGAAGATCAAAGTGTCCCATCCCCCAGGTCTCCGTACAAAGATTACAGATGAACTTTCCTGCTCTTTGAATCTTTTGACACATGATGTTTAAGCATAAGTCCCTTTACCTTTCATTTATTTGTGTATTTTGCATCTCTGGATCGCTAATTATTAAAGAGAGGATAATGAAACAGATCCTCCAGTCTACCCAAGTTATTAATTAAAAACCCCATCCACAGCAGAGGGGCCAAATTCAGGTCTTGCTTTCCCCCATTCAACCCCACCGGAACCAAAATACCAAATGAGGCTTCTGAATTGTGCCTTGCAAATCTTCATGGGCATCTATCTGCACGTGCAGAATCCTATATTTGTGCATCTAAAATGATACTTTGCCTGCAGTTACCCACTTTGAACAAACCGAATCCTGGGTTTTGTATCAAGACAATGGGTTTTGTATCAAGCCCCTAATGTAATGGTTCATTCCGTCCTCCTCCAACCATTAGACGACTACAGTGATCCAGGAGCATTCAGGCAAGCTCCTATGACAGATACATGCATGTTGGTTGGTCCTGCTTTGAGCAGGGGGTTGAACTAGATGACCTTCTGAGGTGTCTTCCTACCCTAATCGTCTATGATTCTACGATTCTGTGTCAGCTCCAAGATATAGAACCATGGATGCCAGAATAGGGGCAACACTGGAATAAAGATAGGTTTGGTAGAGCAAATGGCTATCTCCAACCTGGAGGGCGCTGATTGCTCTGGGGACATTATATTGTCCTTCCCAGAAAGAACCACCACTGAAGTGTCATCTTCGGGACATCCTGGCAATGAACAATGCTGACTGGCTGACACACTGAGCGGTGAGTCTAGGCACCCCTTCTTTTGGCCCTTCACCCTATGAGTTATAGTAACTTAAATTCAGAGTCAGTGGGGCAGAGTCAAAGGAGATGTGTAGGAGGGGTTAAAAGATACTTGTCAGTTAAGTGGGAGTGAAGACTAAGGGAGCCTAAAATGGAGTAATTGGGCCTAGTAAATTACTCCATCTGAGACATCGTTAGACTCATCTCTGAATTTGGTTCATTGGGAACTGTGATCACTCAGGGCCAGGTTTTTAAAGGTATTTAAGCACCTAGTGTGATTTTCAAAAGTATCTAGGCACCTAAAACTGTGTCTATCAAGATGAGGTCCATGCATAAGCACCTCATAATGAATCTTAGCTTCTGCTCTTGACACACACACAATGCCGCCACTCTGTACTCTAGAAAATCTATTATCAGAAGAAACAAAAAGCCTCAGCCGTTGACAACATAGTGTCTGCTTTTTCTACTGTCATAGAAAGAGTGGTCTAACAGATTGTTATCTAAATGCCCTGCCTGTGGAGCCCGAGCTGAAACCTACCTGAAATTCTCATTCACTCCATCTAACTTGTCTAACCATCTTTCTTAAAGATCAAAATCTTCCTGAAGATTACCTCATTATTAACGTTTCCCTTTGAAATGAACTAATATACATTTTACTACCAGTGCATCCATGTGATTTTTAACAATGGAAACATCAGAAGATAAGCTGATTGCTGTATTTATCACTGAAAATGTTGTAGCACTTCAGCCAAATTGCCTATTAATGAAGAGATTTATTTCTTCTTCACCCAAATTTCCTGCTAATGGAGAGGTTATTTTTCTCTCCGTGTTTCCAATTTGCCACTTAAAAGCTTAATTTAAATTATTTCAGTGTCACTAGATGTTTGCCAGTGACAGTAAATTCTAACTTGATTTGTTTCAGAGGCAAGGCCCATGCCCATCTTTTCAGTGTTAATAGGAGGTTGCAATTGTGTACAATACAGTTGCAACCAACTGTATACAACCTTGCATACAAGTTGTACACAACTGTATTCAAGGTTATGGGTCAGATCTTTAGCTGATGTAAATTGCTGTAACTCCATTGGTATTTATGCCAACTGAGGATGTGACCTGATGACTAGATATTGACATTTAAGAGTCAAGGCTCCAAGATTCACCTGTATCAGCTGATGAGGATCCAACCAGCTGCTTATCTCCTTCTTTTGTCATTGACTTGGTTACCTTTTTCCTCTTGCTAGTTGCTAATGTCCCCTTGGAATTTAATTTGGAGTTTGAAGGGGCATTTTCAGCAATTACACCAGAATCATGGATGATCTGGGAAGGCTTGAGATCTATACTGTTCTCCTTCCTATTGTTTTCTTGGCTGGCCTTAGATGTGACTTTTGTTGCTGTCTTTGGTTCTTGGGCTTCCTCAGAACCTTTATTCTGACCCAAATTTCCATCCGGGAGTGCACAGTTACTGCTTTCCAAGTCCGGTTTAGTAAGATTAGTCTCCAGCAGCCTGCTCGCTGCTGACTGTCCCCTGTTTTCACTAGCTTCTGTATCTAATCCCCTTTCTATTTCATCCTCTCTGGTAACATTAGACCCAGTTCTTGGGATGCCCTGTAAATCCACAGCAATTATATGGGTGGTCTCCCTCAATCTGGTCCTGCTCATTATGTCCTGAGCCATGCCTTGGGATCTGGGAGCTGTCTCTTCATTTTTCAGTTGCATCTTGCCTTCCTTTTCCATGCCATCTCCATCATCGTCAGCAGGCTCCTGTTGTACAGTCTCAGGATAGAAGACAGACTTCTTGCCGGGAAGCTCTCTAACCGAAGCCCACTTGTGTTCTGGGCAGTGGCTATGAAGACAACAAACGAGACCTTTCGTTAGAGCACTGACACCAAATATTCTTCAGGCAGTAGGTGGGAGAATAACCTTAGTGAGACAGGCTTGTAACCAATCTTTGAGAAGGAATGGTTTTGAGTAAAAGCAGCAAGCAAAGCGTTTGTTTAAGAAGAGGATGCTTAATTCACAAGGCTTGAGGAACTGAAACACTGATTAGAGCAAGGGGGGAGGGTGTGGAAATAGGCTTTCCAAGCTAGGGTAACAGATAGTCGAAGATAAGCAAATGTTAAACAATTCCTCCAGGAAACCTATAAATGTCACGGCTAAATATACTGTGTAATCTCTATTGTAGAGGCAGGACCAATGGGAAATTAGAGAAGTGTATTGTGTTATGTGCTCCCATTGAGCTAGACATAACATAGGTTGAAAGACAATGCCGAGTTAATAAGGCATCAAAACAGACCTACCTAAAACTTGTTCCTTCTTAAAGGAAAGCTGTGATTTATTGGAGTGAGTGGGCGGGAGAAGCAGGTGAATGTTAAGTCACTGCCGCTGATTCACTGGGTGTTCTTGGTCACATCACAGTGCCTTGTTATGCCTCATTCTCCCCTTTATAAATGGGGGATAACAATCAGAGCTGGGCAGGAACCAGAATTTTTGCTTCATGGGAAATTCTATTATTTTGATATTTGTTTTCTCGTTGAATTGGAATGAAAACAAACCTTTTTGAAATCTCAAGTGAAATAAAATGTAAAAGAAAATTCACTTGGGGTCAATCAAAACCTTTCATGTTGATAAAATCAGGCTGGTTCACTCCAATTTCAACTTTAAAAATATGGAAACAAAAGGTCATGTCAGAATGGAAAACTGAAACACACCATGTCAACAATGTCAAAACATTCCATTTCCACATCCTCAAAATGCTTCATTTCCATTTTTTTTTTCAAAACAAAATTTTGTTGAAATCAACATGTTCCTGCAAAATGTTTCAATATCAACAAAATTATGCAAAAAGAAAAGGAGGACTTGTGGCACTTTAGAGACTAACCAATTTATTTGAGCATAAGCTTTCGTGAGCTACAGCTCACTTCATCGGATGCATACTGTGGAAACTGCAGAAGACATTATATACACAGAGACCATGAAACAATACCTCCTCCCACCCCACTCTCCTGCTGGTAATAGCTTATCTAAAGTGATCACTCTCCTTACAATGTGTATGATAATCAAGTTGGGCTATTTCCAGCACAAATCCAGGTTTTCTCACCCTCCGCCCCCCCCCACACACACACACAAACTCACTCTCCTGCTGGTAATAGCCCATCCAAAGTGACCACTCTCTTTACAATGTGTATGATAATCAAGGTGGGCCATTTCCAGCACAAATCCAGGTTTTCTCACCCCCCCCCCCAAACCACACACACACAAACTTGTACATTGTACAAATGCACATTGTAGGGAGAGTGGTCACTTTGGATAAGCTATTACCAGCAGGAGAGTGAGTTTGTGTGTGTGTGGTTTGGGGCGGGGGGTGAGAAAACCTGGATTTGTGCTGGAAATGGCCCACCTTGATTTTCATACACATTGTAAAGAGAGTGGTCACTTTGGATGGGCTATTACCAGCAGGAGAGTGAGTTTGGGGGGGGGGGGGCAGGCGGGCACGGAGGGTGAGAAAACCTGGATTTGTGCTGGAAATGGCCCAACTTGATTATCATACACATTGTAAGGAGAGTGATCACTTTAGATAAGCTATTACCAGCAGGAGAGTGGGGTGGGAGGAGGTATTGTTTCATGGTCTCTGTGTATATAATGTCTTCTGCAGTTTCCACAGTATGCATCCGATGAAGTGAGCTGTAGCTCACAAAAGCTTATGCTCAAATAAATTGGTTAGTCTCTAAGGTGCCACAAGTATTCCTTTTCTTTTTGCGAATACAGACTAACGCGGCTGTTACTCTGAAACAAAATTATGGTTTCCAATGGAAAACTCTTTAGCTGAAAATGTTCTGACCAGTTCTCCTAATAACGCTCACTAACGTTTGCCAAAAGCTATTAGATCTCAGGATGGAAATGTGCTGTCTAAACAATAGATATTTTATTATTATTATTTCACGAGTGGCTATTCAGTAGCGGGTTTGAACCAAAACCCCAGGTCTGAAACATCACTGTTGTGTGGTGTTCAAAATCAGAACTCAGATTTTAGGCCTTGAGCCTGTCTCTAGTCTAAAGTGCATCCTAATTTCATGAAATTTTGGATGGAGAGAGAGAAACTGGGTGGTATGTTCTCTTCTCAGCATTATGCACAGGATTTAACTTCCGTCACTGGCATAGCCTTCTGGGAGAGAAATGGTCTTCACAAGTGTCCCAAGGGATCTGAGGAATCACTTGAGCAAATCCCCTTGCTTCCCTTTGAATATTTACCCTAAAAGTCCCACTCTTCCATGACTACCACTCTGGTAGTGTAAAGACTGAGGCTGTAAAATAGGCAAAATTACATTTACATATCAAGGGGTATAAAGGGGACTTGGGGTACAATGAACGTTCACCATAAGGAAAAGGTGATGTTGCCATAATACTCCAGCCAGCATTTATTTAATGCCTTTCATCCCAAAGGACTTCGCAGCACTTTACAAACCATACATTTAAAGATCACTTCATCCCCATGTGGGGTGTGATGCACAGCAGCTTGTAACACTCCCCAGCAGTCTTTAAGACAGGAGGTGAGGAAGGCTAGCTTGTGAAAGCAGGCTGCTAAGCTTGTGAGCTTTGACTCAGCCCAGAGAATGGGCACAGAAGGACTTTGCCACAGTGTGTTTTAGATCCGTTCTTAGACATTCATTCTGAACATTAAAATAACTATGAACCTAGTAGAAACTAATAATGACGATAGTTTCTACTAGGTTCATAGTTTGACACTATTACTCTGCCATTGGATCACATGTATAGCTGATGTAAGTCAGTATCTTTATCTCCACCTTGACTTTAGAATTGCTCCAACCAGAACTTCTGCTTTGTTTTGTTTCTTTCAAAGAAAAAAGTGAAGTAAAGAAATGGAAATTCTAACCTTTGCTCAGCAGACACTAAATGCCGTAGCAAAGCTTTCACTGTCCCCTGTCCTTCCTTCTGCTTAGAAAACTTGGCTTCTAGCAGGGCCATTAAGAGAGCTTCTAAAGAAACCAAACCATCGCGTTATGGAGCAGCAGACCCACACGGCTGTAGAGTGTGGACTGCTTATCTCACTGAGTGGAGAAGGATAGCTTCACAGCAGCAAGTGATGGCTCTGAAACCGAACCTGCCTCTGCTTTATATACACCAGGTTCCAAAGGAGTCCTCCGGCAGGTTCAGAAAACCCTCAGCACTATAAACAAGGGCTGGTCTCCTAGCAACAGCTGCCTAGCGACTGTTGCTAATTGTGGAAGGGGTTCCAGCATTAACATGCAGAGCGACTTCTACAAAGGGGTGTGTTTTTAGATAAAGCTCTGCAGTGATAAAGAGGGCTGCTGTTTGAGTGGGTGCACACGTGTGCACCAAAGTGAGCGCGTGTAGCAGAGAGATAGGGAAACCAATTTGGTGGCTGGAACGCCTGTTGCCTGGCTTGTTTCAACTCAGTCGTCCATGGTCCTCTTCAAGTCTTCGAAAGGTCAGGCTTCACCTGTGCTGCCAGACACTACACCCACTTTCAATGTCACTCAGAAGCAAACAGTAAAAGCTAATTTTGTTTCCTTCCCCCTGCACAACCACTCGCTCGTCACCTGATAAAATTCGACTCAGAGTGGCTGCCAATATGAATTTTGATCACGGTGTACCTGTCCTTCAAGTGCAGTCACTGATCTCATTGCTCAGTGCTCCATCTCTCCTGACTTTGTTAACATCTCTATGGTGATACCTTTCAGTATGTTGCAGTAGGTACAGTTCAAAACAGTCACCGCCCAGGCCAACGACTGACATAGGCACATTCAGATTATGTAACTGTATGCTCAGTATCTGCTTGTGTAGGCAGTCATTAGACTTGCCTGTGCATATGTGTATATGCAGGCCCTTTGGATCACCGTAGAGTCATCTGTCCCAAAATGTTTATCCACAAATTTAGTAGAATAATGTATAGCACTAAAATATTGGGGGTATAGTGGAGGTCATTGGTGTATAGTGTGTATAGTGTATAGTGGAGGTCATTGGTGGTTCTTTGGCTCATGGCTGGTTCTTTCTTTCTGTGCAAATAATAGGTCAAAGAACCAGGAGGCTCAGATTGTTGGGTGCAGGGTGGGCGTTTTATGCCTTAGTGCCTGTGGAACCTAGCCACGGAGCTGGTGTAACTGAGCTCTGTAGAATCACCCCAATTTAGGGGAATCCTCCAGTAGTTTACAGCCAGTGTAGTGGGGACTAGACTGCCTCAATCCCTGCAGCTAGCGAAGGGGCATGGCCAACGTAAAAGGGAAGTAGCCAGGGCTTCCCTCCAATTTGCTGATCCAAGGCTGCTCTTTTGGTCACTCAGGGGCATTGTCAGCTGATGTCATTTACAGCCTTCTTCAGGCTGCTCGAACATGCTGGGGGGTTGGCCTGGCATGTGGCAGTCCTAGGGCTGGGGAAGTGCAAAAGTGAGCTTTACATCAGGTTTACGCGCACACCCTTCTAACCTGCACTAGGTGCTCCTTGGACCTATTCAAGGATCTGATCTGGAGAGCGTTTTGGAAGTTAGAAGTTCTACCTGTACGTATAGATGAACGATAACAGTGGCTTTTCCTTTGCAATGGCACAGGGGAGTTTTGCCTCAGCAAGGCAAATAAAATCCCAAGGATAATATTTATATCAAGGGGACTGGGTCCTCAGCAGCTATAAATCTGCATACCTCCACTAGAGTCAATGGTGCTTCACCAGTTGACCCCATCTGAGGCTATTATACTCTATTGTTGTCCAAGCAGAAGCAGGTAGTTCATTTCTCTTGGTTGCAATCATTGAAGACCAGAATTAGTGACTTTGCAAAATGCAATGAAACACTGGTGAAATGAACGATTGGTAGAAATTAAATGGCTCTTGGAGAAAAATTAAGCATTTACATTTTTAAAAAAATCATCTTAAGGTACTCTTCTCCCACAGGAAATTAGGATTAAAAATAACAAAAGCCTCCAACCCTGCTCTTCTAACTGCACTTTGAAACATTCTGGGCTAGGATTCAATATGTGGTGGTGGTCATGAGGTTCACTGGCATTTCTGAATGAATTTCCATTGAATTTCAAGTCATAATTTATGGCCTATTTATGCAGCAACAGCTAAGTTGCATCTTTCGATAGCAACCAAGTTCTTTGAAGTCATAATAACACCTTTGAATTTGAATCCTCAGATAAAGCACAAGATACTGCAGGGTGAGACGTCAGAAAGGGGCCAATGCAATATCTCTTGGTGGTTTTGCAAAATTACACAGCAGATACCAGCTGAACAGGAACAATAGCTTTTTGGTTTAGCAAATGCTGCTTATAGCATAGCACCAAACCCCGACTGATGAACGTGATCAAAAAGCACTGGCCCCCAATCTGAATTCCACAGAACTGCAGTCACAAGTTGGCCTCCAGGATAGACTGCAATGAGTTAACTAACCGAGGTAGCACGTGCACCTCTGCTACTAGGTTGGAGCCAAATTCCACACTTGGTGGGAAGCTAAGGAAACCCCTGGCTAGCACAAAAAGACTTGAGGGAGAGACTTAGAGACAGGAATGTATTTGGTGATGGGGGAGGATGGGAAGAAGCTTTTATACAAAAACTAAATCTACTGGCCCGGCCATACTGTATGAGTCCTTTCTGATCTAGTGTTTGGTCAGAGCTGGCTTGATCCTGGATTGAAGGAACCTGTGTTTATAACCTCTCTGCTGCCATAAAGGTGAATGTCATGTCACCAGTTTAACACTGAGGGCAAGTTCACTGGAGTGCAAAGGGGAAAGTCGATGGTATTGTGCCCACTTGTGCTGGTTGTGAATGGGGCCCTATAGCTTCACTGCATGGCCAACCAGGAGAAAGACTGGGCTAGGAAGTCCTCAGGGCACTGGCCAGAACTATCAGTTTCTTGGGGTTTTCTGGGGCCTCTAGGGAACAATGTTCTGGTGGAAAGGAGGGGCCAGGCTGTGTATCCTGATTCTAAATGAGACAATCCCTTCCCCAGACTGCCTCCAAGTAGCCTCAAGGCTGCTCTACGCTACACCGGTTTGTCACACTCCCCTAGGTGCTGGTATGCCAGCCAAGAAAAGCCAGTGAGCAGCCAGCTCCTCCCTCCCTCTTTCTCCTTCCTCTGGCATGACCCATCCCCGGGTGCTTTGAGGGGGAGCAGGGCAGTGATGTTCTGGAAGCTCTCAGCCACACAATGAACTCCCAGGGGTTGGATTCTTTATTACCCCTTTGCAATGCTAGAGTGGAATAAAGGGGTTGCAGCGTAAGAAAGAAATTGGCCCAGGAAGCAGGGCCCTGGGATAGGAAGGGGCCCTTTTCTCCTGTCACGTTTAAGAACAGAATTACACCAAAACCTCTGGCAAGTGACATGGGAAATGTCTCAGGACACGCTTTGATCCTGAGATTGCCAGCCTCAGGCATCCCAGGCTGATGTGTACTGTATAGATTAATTTCAGGTTTCAGAGTAGCAGCCGTGTTAGTCTGTATCTGCAAAAAGAAAAGGAGTACTTGTGGCACCTTAGAGATTAACAAATTTATTTGAGCATGAGCTTTCGTGAGGTACAACTCACTTCATCGGATGCATGCAGTGGAGTGAGCTGTAGCTCACGAAAGCTCATGCTCAAATAAATGTGTTAGTCTCTAAGGTGCCACAAATCCTCCTTTTCTTTTTGTATAGATTAAGAAAGCCAATGATGCTTGCCTGACACAGGTGCCTAGGAGCCAAGTTTCAATGGACTTGAAGTGATATTCCATGTCTCCGTAGGAGGGAGAGACAAACCGGTAGGAATCAAAGATCTGCAGTCTGCCCCTTTTCCACCTGGCCCCCTGCGCTCACCGGCCCCCAGCCAGATCTCCACGTGGACAATGTCATGGAATTGCCTCCTTCCTGCAATGACAAGGAAGTGACTGTGCATTTTCCAAAGTTGCCTTTAAAATGGCATTTGGGGAGGTGCTGGGCTGACGGCCCTGGAGACTGTCTATCCATAGAACTGGCCCTGACAGACGGTGTCACTGTTCAGTCAGTGTGTCTTGCCCTGACCAGAAAAGACTACCCTTGCTGCTGAGAGGACAGTTTAGTCTCCATGTCTATTCAGTCATTCATCCCTCCTCAGAGACTGCCCCCCCCCAAAAGAACTCCCAGGAGGAAAGCCAAATGGATTGGGGCTGTCTGTGATGTGAAAACCTGTCCAACAGGCTCAGAAAACTCATGGCATACAGGCCACCAAACAGCTGTCCAGTAATAACAACTTCAACTGACAACTTTTTGTGAAATTCTCACAATTGCACTGCAAATTTGGAAAGATATGGCTGAAAATCTCCACACAAAAAAAGCACCTTTCTGGTCTAGTTCCATCAGGAATTGCAAAGATAGTCACAAGAATGACCAAAACCAGCCCAAACCACATCTTCAGAATTCACAAAGTGTTCATTTTAAGTTTAATTCCAGAAAGGTGTAAAAATGTGGGAGGGTTATTACTTCATTTAACCGGGATCATTCAAATCCCCAAGTTCACAGCCTTGTGTGTGTGTGTCTAGCCTTGTGTGGTGGCTCATAGCTACTCTAACAATCTTGTATACTTCTCTCTGAGGTCAGCTGGATGGGGGATATGCATGGGGGGGGTACATATGAGGATGGTATGTATGGGTACGGATGGATGAATGGATATGAAGGGGGTGGAAGTACATATGAGGATGGATGGATGGATAAATAGAGGAGGTACAAAGGGGATGGGTGGACGGATAGATATCTTTGTTGACATTACGTTCTGTGTCGAAGTACGTTCCTGAAATGAAGATGAGGTCTCCCGGCTTCATGTGCTCCTCACTGGGCAGAGTGATGGGGAGTGTGTCATACTGATACGCCTGGTTTCCTGGACCCATGCAAAAGCCAAATTCCGATTTTAAGTCATGCACCACCTGCCGAATCAGTCCGCAGCAATCCAGGAAGAGCGGGGATTCGTACTCTGGAGCCGGGGAGCAAGGCAGTAGGTGAGCAAAATGACAAAGGAACCTCCCTTTTTATCCAGCAGGAGGACAGGAGAGTCGCTTTGGTGAGAGAAGATGCAGCAAGAGACACCTTTGCACAATAATTCAGATTTGTCTAGGGGTAGGCACACCAACTTATATTGTTCTTCTGTCTGCCAGGAGCTGGGAATGGGCGACAGGGGATGGATCACTTGATGATTCCCTGGTCTGTTCATTCCCTCTGCGGCACCTGGCATTGGCCACTGTCAGGAGACAGGATACTGGGCTAGGTGGACCATTGGTCTGACCCAGTAGGGCCGTTCTTATGTTCTTAATGTGGATAAAACTATAATGCCCAGCTATGGGCCTCAATGCCATGCCCTAGAATCTCCGCCCATTTTGGAAACCAAACCTGAACTGGACCTTTTGGCAGTTTCGGTATTTTTTTCTCCTCCATTGTTTCTGATTTGTGTGGCCTCTGCATTTCAGGATGGCACTTGCAATTGGAATAGGAAGTGCCAAAATACTACCAAGATGTCTTTTTTTCATGGTATTTCCAGCTTGACTGGAAATTGGAAATAGCAGGAATCCCATGAGATTTCCAGCCCAGCTTTGCAGCTCTAAGAAGTTAGGATATGCTGGATTAGGTCCGGCAAAATCACCTGAACTGTTGGACGCTTATAACTTCTGGACAAAAAAGGTTCACGCGTTGCTAGTTTTATGGCCTCACCAAATCCACAGGATCTATGTAGATGTTTCAGATGTAATGTGGATTATGCGGAATTGAAGCTTTGGAGATGGCTGGAAATTTTTCTTTTAATTTTTTTTAAAATGAAAAATGTCACTTTCACCTACATTTAAACATTTTGAAAAACATTTAGGAACTTTAAACAACTTCTTGCTGGCTACTTTTGTTGCTCCACTCCTCTCTTGTGTCCCTCTGAGAAATGTGTCGTACCAGCCAATGTCTGGTCAGTAGAATTGCTTGGGGTGAAAGTGCAGAATTTGACCTTTTTAGTCCTCTGAGTCCAAAGGAATCAAAGTTCCTAGATGGAGTGCCTGATGGTAAGTGTATGTTAGTCTAGGGATGTCTAAGGGAGCATGTGTCAATGGATAATGCACTGGGGTGTGAGTCAGGAGACCTAGATTTTATTCCCAGCCCTGCCACTGATCCTGGGCAAGTCACTTCACTGCTCCGTGCCTCAGTTTCCCCTTCCACCTTTTGTTTATTTAGATTCTAACCTCTTTCTCTAATCAGGTATATGTACAACTCCTAACACAATGGCCCCCTGATCTCTGATGGGGCTTCTAGGTGCAACCATAATGAGGATGATGATCATAATAGCGTCTAAACTGGGGTAACATGAATATGGAAGGGCCAAATTAGACACCCTTAATCTCACTCCTGACTATGGCTCTATGTCCTTTATATTTTTTATTTGAACGGCCAAAGAAGAGACGTTACCATTCATCTGTGGCCTAAGGAAGGCATGAACCGTCAGTAGGTTATCACCAGAGACAGTAATGACAATACCTGCTCTATCAGGGAAAAGGTGAATGGGCTGAAAGGGTCTGCACCTACTGCCCGGCTCGTGATACTTCTTGGCGTAGGGTACACCTGTGTAACTCTTTGCCTGCTCGAGAAACTTCATCCGCAGCTGCCACCGGTAGTCCTGAAGTCTGCTCTGTACGGACAGTTTCTTCCCTTGGAGCATCTGCAGCTCCTCCTGAATCAAAACACAAGGAGGAAAGGAGGAAAATCGGGCAGCAAGCCCTGTCTGTTTTTTCTCAAGACAAAACTTTTTTTTTTCTTTTTCTAGAGAGGAGCGAGCAAAGTCAGAGAAAGCCGGAGTCTGGCCCAAACTCAATTCTAGCTCTGGCTTGGCCCTGCATCCCCGAGTGAGGAGGTGCCAAGCCAGTGTGAATACTCTGGCATTTCTTCCTGGAGGTCACAGTGACCTTCAGCAACATTCTCTGTATTTTCCTGTTCGTGCTCGATGTGCCTGATTAGCTCCAATGCTCGGCTCACACAGACCAAGCCGGAACCTCGCCCTTGCTTTACCTTCCAACTTCCTGGTTTACACATCTCATGGCCAAGCCGCCTACATGTTACAGAGTCATATAGGAAAACCATAGGCTGGAAGGACGGCGGTGCTGCACCCTATGATATTGCAAATACTTCCAGTAGGTGCTACTCCTTCTAGGAAGTAATCCCTAATTGTTAGTGCACAGGAAGGACTGAGGGTTCAGGATTTCTGGGTTCTGACTTGAAATTCACTTTAACACCCTGTGCCTCAGTTTTCTCGTATGTAAAATGAAGGGGAATATATACCTTCCTCCCAGAGTTATGAAGGCAGGTTGAATTAACGGTCAGTAAAGTACTTAGAGACCCTGTACTAAAACATGCTATAGAAGTGCAAGTACTCTTCTATACTAAACTATACTTCTTCACAGATCTAGAGTACTGTGTATAGATACAGTGAAAACAGCAGGAAATTGCACCATCAAAAAGTTCTCGGTGACATGAAAAGCTGCAAAAACCAAGTTTGAGTAATTTGTTTTCAGAACGCGATAGAGTGGTTGCCTGATGTTACATTGTTGCTTAAGAAGTTTATGGTTGGAATGTTTCTACTAAAATATCTGTCTATGTTCCCCAAAAAAGTCTTACAAGATCTAGTGATGCAATGACGGCATTAAAGAGAAGTATTATACTCTAGTTCCATATAAGATATATCCAGATTTATGTAAGGAATAACACACCCACCCCAGCATATACAATAAGGTTATAATGCTCTTTCAGGATTCTCTTTACCGTAAGCTAAGAGCACTGTACCAAATACAAAGAAAAAAATCAAAACAGATAAAATAAATATTAATAAAAATATTAAACTGCATAATTATTTGAAGGATTCCTTTAAAAAATTAAAATAGGACTGATGAATTCACACTGCTTTGCACTTACACAGCACTATTCATGCGGGGACTCAACATTTTGTACAGAAATGAGCTTCCCCATTAAACACAGAGACAAAGGTACAGAGAGAGATTAACCAATTTGCTCAAGCTGATACAGCCAGTAAGTTGCAGAGACAGAAATAGGAGCCAGGCATCGCGATTCTCCGCCTTCTGCTCTAACCATTTGATGGACTGACTTCATTAAATAGATTAATGAAGGCAGCAGGCAGTCTGAGCATCCTATGGTAATTTTTTCTGCTGGGAAAGATGACGCCTGTCTATGAGCAAATCTCCCCTGGAAATATTATTGCTTCCCTCTATCGAAAGATACAGCGCTGGGAGGGAAAACTACTACCTGGGTAGCTTATGTGAGAAGTCTGGACTGTTTCTATATGATACAGATCATCCTTGTGTTTAGATGAATAGCAATGCTCTATTCAATAGAAACTATACTGAAATGAACACTTAGGGCTGATAGAAATGCACTGAATGACTGAATACCAGCCTCAGCCATTGGGTGACAGTATGGCATTTTCTTCTGATGCGGGCTGCGGGAGAGTTGGACTATCAAGAGAATCTCTTTCATTCAAAAATAGTTTTATGAGCGACTTGTGATGGCAGCTCATACATTCTGCTTGCCCTGTTTTCTTGCTCGGTCAGGACAGCATGTTTCTCAGGAAACAATGTTTTAATAAAGCTGGCCACAAATGCAGAGTAACAGCCAAGATGTAGCTGGCTCTGTAACCATTTATTATATTTTATTTTTTTTCTAGCACTGCATTTGCACCTTCTGACAGCAGCAGTCTTTCCAGATAATGCCTTTTTTATGAGGTTAAGCACTCTTTGGGTGGATGAAGCCGACCTCTTGGAGGAAGATGAGTGTTTGTGTGGTTAAAGCAGGGGATAGGGAGTAAGGAAGGTCTCCTCTAGCTTTGCCACTGACCCACTGTGTGACCTGGGGCAAGTCACTTTGCTCCTCTGTGCCTCAGTTTCCCCATCTGTAAAATCCTCCCAGGATTTAATTAATGCCTATAAAGCACTTTGAGATGCTTAGTAATTAAGGCAGACTTTACTCTTGTGGCCTTCCAGTAATGAGGAGTGCAGTTGACACCCAAAAGCAAGCTGCATCCACAACTGTTGTGAGCTGTTTATATTACATTCTTATGGGGATTTTCTTCCTTTAGAATATGGTAGCAGGTTTTCAGGAGAGGCTTCTCAATATTCTGGAGTCAAGATTTGAGATATTCGACAGCCAGGGAGTACAGCAAGCAGCGCATATGTGCTTAGCAAACTGTCCCTTTTCGGTATAGCTCTGACATTAGTCTCAAGTGCAACACATAAAGGGAGTGGCCTGATTTGGCCAGAGTCAAAGATTGGGTCCTAAATATCCTCCTAAATAAGGCTATCTGCAGCCAGAGAAAACCAAAGGCAAAGAAACCATCATGCCATTGCTTACATGTGTTTCCTTACATGTGTTGCTAGTACTGGGTCCTGAAAAAAAAGATTCCTACTTGATCTACTGCATCATACACATCTTGTGATTGTCAGAGAAAGCAAGAGTGCCGCTCATTGAGGAAACAGGCCACTTCCCCTACCAACTCCTTCTCATTGGTCCTGCCTCAGTGCCGGGGGCTGAACTAGATGACCTCTCAAGGTCCCATCCAGCCCGACATTTCTATGGTTCTGCGACTGGACAACTGCATCCCTCGCAACATTAAACTTGGAAATTAGTGATGGGCCCAAACCAAATCTCTGGAACGAAGTGTTGGAGGGAGAGAAAGGAGAGGCCTCAAGTCTGGTTTCATGCCTTGGGGCTGGCTTTTAGGGTAGCTTTATAATGGGTCAAACCAGAACCTCAGATCTGAACACCTTAGAACTTTGGGGAAGTTCAGTTCCAGTCTACTAATGGAACCATCAACCAGGCAAGGATACGAAGAAACCAGCACCACCCCCTTCCTGCACGTGGAGGAAAGATATGGGAAATTCTTCTTATAGCGCTTTTCTTGTTTATAAGGTGCTTCCGCTATAAAAGGATCTTGAAATTCGAGTCTTTGGCGAAATGCAACCCCCTCTGGTGCTCGAAAAGAGTCACACTCTGGGTCAGATAAGTAAGAAGGTCAGAACATTGTACAAGGGCACCTAGAACTGAAGTCACCTTTCACAATTTCATCAAACCACCATTATCACAATGGGCCGCATTTGCCAAAGCACTGAGCACCCTGAATTCTGCTTGAAATCAGTGGGAGCTGTAGGGGCTCAGCACCACTGAAAATCAAGTCTTTTGTGGGTAGAGACATTGTTGTTCAGGGCAAAAGCTGTCTGAACAACAGTGCATGTCCTTGCACCATCGCAGCCCAGTCCAAAACCCAGTGAAGTCAATGGAAAGACTCCCATTGGCATCAATAGGCTTTGGATCAGGCTCTTGAGATGCACAAATCCTTTAACTCGGAAATTCTTTCTCTCTTTCACCTCTCCCTGTTTCTTCTGAACTATGTTTAAGGCTCAGATGAATCTGAGCTTCTGGATTTTCAGCTGCAACTTATGACCCACCAAATCAGTGAAGTAACGTCACTTTCAGCCAGGCAGACCAGCTTAAGCGAAATGAGAATCCGCGTGGCA